CTAAAGCAATGCACGAGTGTAGAAACGTAACATTATGTGACTTGCGTTGAAAACTCACCTCATATTCTCAATGTCCCTGCCGCCGCTTTTTAGAATGCAAATCGGTATGGCGATTATGGCCAGCAGCATCATGTACGCCACATAGAAGCACTTTTTGAAATAGAAAACGAACGTGCTGCTTGTCCATAACAGGAGCGGGAGCACCAGCAGCAGAGGGAGCATCCACACGGCATCCATGCCTTGACCAGCGCCTCTTTCCCGGCTGTCGAGAAATTATAGAAGGTCAGCGGTGTGGAGTGGAGGGGGGACCGCGCGGGATCAACTCAGAACCGAGTCTACATCAGACACCACGTCCAAGTCGCACCCTTGAGTAACTTTGGCGTTCCCCCTGCTTGTCGTTTACGCAATATCGGGCGAATGAGGTGGATATCAACAAGAATCAGGCGCGGGTTATCCACTGAGAGCGCTGCGTGCGTAACCTTTGGCCGCCTGCTGTGTGTGTGTGTAACTGCCTGGCGCTGTGTGATTCGCGAATCATTCGTTTGAACCGGTTCTTTGAGATGATTCAGTCTCAGCATTTGTGAACAACTCACTTACAACTAGAAGTTTCCACCAAACTACTACAATTATAGTTATTTCGATAAAACTGCTAAACGCTGTATTATCAAAGAGTGTCCAAAAATAAATAAATACATAAGTAAACAAATAAATAAAAGTGTATAATGGAGTATTTATTTATTTATTTTTATTTTGTAACATGACTGGCTCTTTTGTGTGTGTGTGAGATTCGGCAATATTGTATGCAAAACAATAAATGACAAAATAAATAAAAATTAAAAACGCAATACAAATAATAATGCAATGATAATGCATATTTTTTTGCATTAAAAATGGTTATAGGTTACAATATACTTTTAAAATATCCTTTATGACACTGACAAAACGATGTTTAATAATAATAATAATAATAATGCAATGTTTTTATTGTTGTAGTCAGAACAAAATGCAGAAACAATATTAAAAATACTAATAATAAGACTAAAAATAAAATAGCCTACTACTAATTAAAATACGTCCAAACCACATTAATAGTGAAAATATTGTTCTTTATATATTATTAGTTATTATATTATTTATATATTTGACTTATTTTATTACTTTTCGGTCACTGCGTGTGTATTTGTGCTTTGGCAATATTGTATGCAAAACAGTCAATAAAATAAATAAAAATAACGAACACAAGACAAATAATAATAATAATAATAATAGGCCTAATAATATGCAATAAAAACGGTTCTGGGCTACAATATACATTTAAAACAATTGTATGATATTGACAAAAATGATTTATAATAATAATGCTATGTAGTAATAATAATGCATTTTAGTCAAATGATGAATACGTTTGTGTTGTGTCAAAAAGCAGAAATAAAACAATATTTAAAAATACATTCAGGCCACATTGCTAGTGAAAAAACTCTAAACAATCTTAACTACTAGAACAACTGAGTGATGATCAGGTTGAATTGGTCGAATCAGTGAACCGTTTTCTTTAAAGCAGTTCACTGAAATGAACAGTCCGAACGAACCGATTCGTTCAAATGACTCGGACTTCCCCACGCTCTGATTTGTGCTCAAAAGCTCCTGCTGTAAGTTTGAATCCCTCCCATGTGTGTGTTTCCGGGTACTGGTTGCTTGTGTTTCCCTGTCATGTGTGTTTGGTGCACCTGAAACTACTTTATTAGAACAAAGACACAATATGCCAACATTTGGAGTGTGTAAGAAATGCCTGGAATGTTCTGGAACAGTGCAGTTTCTTATGAAAATGTTCAGCGCTGTTAACAGGACCATCCAGTTACAGGGACAAGTCTTGAGCACTGATCCCACCGAACTACAGCATTTACATCTGATTTGATTATGTAAAGGTGTCTGTGCATGATGTGTGCATACTTTGTCCAATCTTGCACTCCATTGCATTGTGTTTTAGAGTTAACGGAAATTATTATTATATACAATTATTGGGCAGTGTTCTGGCAGAAAATTACCAGTACATTTTCCATTCATCCATTCATTCATTCATTCATTCATTGTGTGTGCACTTAATAAAAACAAGTTGTTCCATAGACACACACATACTTTACTCTTTGTGGATTAACACAATGTGTTTTATTCAGGGTTATTAAAGGATAGATTCCAGGATAGATTCTAAGCTTTCTAATGGCAGTGGATGGTGGCTGAGATTTTGAAGCAAAATAAAGTGCATCCATTCATCATGAAAAGTACTCCACACGGCTCCGGGTGGTTAATAAAGGCCTTCTGAAGTGTTTTTTGCACTTGAGAACTGAGTGTATTATTATGCAACCTGGAATGATCCATTGAAAATAAGCAAATGTGAAATATAAAATAATACTAAAATATTCTTTTAAAGTCACATAAGAAGTAAACACAATATCCATGCACACACATATGTTACCCTTAACCTATATTTGCACTTGCAGTGAATGTACACTCTGTTGCACGGTCTCTGCAATGCAGAATGTTTTGCTCTCAGAGTGCCGCATGCAAGATGAAACCTGTCCAAACACAAACCTGGCTGTAGAAGGAACTTGAGGGCTTGAATTAAGAAAAGGGTCAACAACCTGAAAGTGGTTTACTTCATACTTTACACATGCATAGAATGCTTTATAAAAATGTATGCACAGTTTAACTTGATATTTAAATAACTTAAAATCACTAATCAAACTGAATTGGTGTGTGTTTTCATGCTTTATGTTTACTTTTTTATTTTTGTATAATTTTGACACTTCAACAACCAAATGCCTAATATAGCTGATTTGAAATACATTTTTTTATTTTCTATTTAGTCACACTTAAAGGTATTCTATAACAAAAAAAGGATTCTATAATATTGATGAATCAAAAAGTAGCCTATTCTAATTGTTTTTATTTAGTCTCATTTTGTCCTAATTATATTCTATTGTCTGTAGTCAAATTTTAAGGGTTATTTTTACCTTTAAATAAATAAATAAATAATTTAAATGAAAGGTATTTTATCTCATTCTATTCTGTTCTATTCTATTCGATTCTATTCATGCACACTGTAACCTGATATTCAAATAAATACATTTTTACTGTTTTTTAATATAATTATTATTGATAAATTTGTGACACTTCAGTCGCTTTTAGATTACTAATTACCCAATGTGAGGAAAACATTGTTGACTTTATAAATTGTTTCTTATTTTCTATACCATTCTATTTAAAGCTGCAGTCCGTAAGTTTTGCCTCTTTGTCGCCATCTCTGTTTGAAAACTTGCAATTGCAGCTATTTGCACAATTATCTTCCTTGCGCGTGTTGTGCACCGGCACGTCTCCAGCGCGGATGAATATAATTTGTGGCTGTCAGTCACCGACCGCACCAGTGTGGATACTGCACTTTGTATTCACAGATTCTACATGTTGAAAGTATGACCCAACTTACGAGTTTTCACTGGAGAATGTCATCTGAACAATAGAGTGGGGGAGCTATGACGTCACTTTGTAGGCGGATCAGCTGTTAGCATGGCACTGGTTCCCTCGACAGAAAGCCAATGGGATTTTTCCATAGGCTTTTGGATTATCGCAAAAAATAAGCATAATCATAGTTCATGAAACTTACACGTTTTGTCCATCAAGACAATCTTCACAAAATAATATAACTTTTATGAATTTTGAAGCCAAAATAAAAGCGCCAGAACTTAAAAGCTAAACTTCTACACTAGAGCACCACGGTCGCTCGCATTTAACGTCACCACCACCATGCTTCCCACAACATTTCAAACTTATTTTTAACATGTTCAGTGAAAAGGATTTACTCTGTATATGAATTTTAATCCACGCTACATGAACCTTTTCATATAAACTGGAATAAATACAAAACTAGAGCAAACTAAAACTCAAATGAGACCTTTATAATAAATAGTATAGTGAATAAATGAAATAATCATAACTAAAAGACATATGAAAGCACGTATTTCTGTACATTTCGAAATAAGGTACATTAAAAGTCAATAAATTTTTGATTAATATGAATATTTTATTTAAAAATGTGTCTCCACGTACTATTCAATACAATTCTAGTGCATTTCATCTATTAAATAACAGCAGAGTGAGCGAGTTTTTGGATATGGTAAGATTAAACTTATTTTAGTGAATAAAGTACCACATTTCAGCTATGGTTTTGTTAGGGTGGGTACACAAAATGTTATTTTATCCTTGCTTCTAGGAAATCCTCAATCTATATGCTTTCTAACAGCTTCATGTGGCCGCAAACATTTAAATTTAACGTGGCTTTAAGCACTATGTATCTTAAAGTTTCACTTTCCCTGTGACTAAGCCAGTAAATGTGGCGTTTACATGGAATAATCATAATATGAGTTTACCTTATGGTACGAACCCAGAGTCTGCATCAGCAGGAAAGCGTTAAAACTAGCATCTTCCATCCGAACACTTGTTGCATTTCGGGGCAAAGCAAAAAAACATTGTCGAACAACAATATAAAATTATTAACTGGTTATTCTACAATTAATTGTACTATAAATTATGCTACAATTGTAAAATACTGTAAATTGATAAACTGTCCGGCGTGATGACGTTTAATGTCTCCGACAGCGCCTGTAGTCCCATTTAGCAACTTGTTAGCAACCGTCTTTTTAAAGAAACGTAACCGTTTTTAAAAATCACGAGTGGGGTGTAACTGGTGTCGCAGAATAAAACGTGAAAGTATCTTGAGCTTGTGTGAACCACGGACCTTATTTTAGGGGATTTAACTAAACTCCCATTTTAAAAACCCATTGACTCTGGGATGATGGAACCGGAAGTGCTAAAATGCTCGCTTCCGGGTTTTTGCCTACAAAGTGACATACTACTTTAATCAGTGACATTTAAAGGGACAGTGTTGTTTGTTTTCTGTCGGTAGCGTAAATCAGGGTCTCTTCCCCTTTAAGGCGCTTTGACGCGTCGCAGAGAGGCCGAATCTCCAGCTGATCGTCAGTGATTCTCATCCCAGCACCATCTCCTCCACCGGATTCGCGCTGATCTTTGGGACAATAAGTCCCTTAGAATCCAGCATCGGTCTAAATAACGCGCAGATATCAGAACTGGGGTTTAAAGCATCTTTGGCCGTGTCGTATCTCGTCGCGCGAGGATGATGCCTCTCTGGATGCAGCGCGCGCGCGTGTCCTTGAGTTGAGGACCACCAGCATTAGATGTTTCTCCATCTCACGGCCGATTGCGTCTTGAGTAAATGTGTATTTTTGCTCTTTTATGCGCTGGAGAACTGTAATGGAGGAGACTAGATGAGAGAGTGAAGGCGTGTTTGGAGAGCAGTCTTTATTGGTGTTGTGAATCATCAGTGCTACTGTGAAGATGCCGAGGAGTTTACGCAGGCTGGTGCACCTGGTGCTCTTCTGTCCCTTGTCTAAGGGTTTACAGGTAAGTTTAATGCTCGAATGACAATGTTTGGTTATATTTTTCCATCAGAAACCTTATAAAAAAATTCGAAATAACACAAAAGTACCATGGTGTCACCGTGTTTTTAAAGATGACACCGTAAATGTTTCCTGGGCATGGTATTTGCTTGAATATTACGTAAATACATGAACATGGGGCTAGTTGTCACACTTTTTTACTCCGGTAAACATATCTCAGGGTAGGACATTTTCATAATTTTTGCCCAGAAAAAAAACCATTTACATGTGTTGACATTTTGTGACAACCCTGATCTGAGTAAAAAATGCACAAATTCATGAAACAGCAAATATGTAAAAGGTACCATATAAAAAATATTAAAGTGAAAATACATTTGCATAATTGTACTCCTGAAATAAAGTCTTTGTGGCCCAGTGTGACAACTTGTCCCAGTGATCCATATACACTGATGACCATCACTGTAGCTCCTGATTTACATGTATTGCATTCTTCTGAATTTTAAAAACACAAGTTACATAAATCATAAGATGGAGGATCTGTCATTTTAATTGTTGCAGTTAATTCCAGCTTTAGCTAATTACACACACACACACACACACACACACACGACTGGTCTGAGTGCTTAATGCACACAGTATGCTGACAGTATTTCTGTAGATCCGCACTAAGAGCCCTCTTTCATAAGTGCACTCACTGTAAGTGCACACTGTGACCGTTTGAGACGGTGTAGGTCAACTCTGTCAGATTCATTGCTGAACCCTGCGCTGAAGATGTCACAGATGACAAATGCGTCTTTCGTTTCTCCCGTATAAAGGGAACGAAAACAGCAGGGATTCGACCTGAAGTTAAACAGACAATATACCATTATTAAAGGGATAGTTCACAAGAAAAAGAAAATGTAGTCATTATTTTCCTCATTTTGTTGCAAACATGTGACTTTCTTTCCTCTGTGGAACACAAAAGGAAAAATTAAAGCGATTTTTTTTCCCCATACAATGCTGAGGCTTTCAGTTTCAATCTTTAAGAATGATGCAAAATCATTATAAGAATATCATAAAAGTGGTCCATCTTACTTGTACTCCATATTGCAAGTCTTCAGAAGCCATACAATTTTTTTTTTTTTTTGAAGAACAGTCTGATATTGAGTTATTGAGTTAAATTTGAGAACCGAATACTCACCCTCAGGCCATCCAAGATGTCAATGAGTTTGTCTCTTCTTCAGAACAGATTTGGAGAAATGTAGATTTACATCACTTGCTCAGCAATGGATGCTCTGCAGTGAATGGGTGCCGTCAGAATGAGTCTAAACAGCTGATAAAAACATCACAATAATCCATAAGTAACCCACACTACTCCAGTCCATCAGTTAACGTCTTGTGATCCCACTTACTTGTACTCCAAAATGCAAGTTTTCAAAAGCCATACAATTTTTTTTTTTTTTTTGAAGAACAGTCTGATATTGAGTTATTGAGTTAAATTTGAGAACCGAATACTCACCCTCAGGCCATCCAAGATGTCAATGAGTTTGTCTCTTCTTCAGAACAGATTTGGAGAAATGTAGATTTACATCACTTGCTCAGCAATGGATGCTCTGCAGTGAATGGGTGCCGTCAGAATGAGTCTAAACAGCTGATAAAAACATCACAATAATCCATAAGTAACCCACACTACTCCAGTCCATCAGTTAACGTCTTGTGATGCAAAAAGCTGCATGTTCTGATGAACAAACTAACTTTTTTTTTTCTTCAAAATGTTTATTTTTGGGTGCACCATTCCTTTAAAGGTTTCAGTGCATATTTATACGACATGATTGTATTGTTAAGTGCACTGCAGTTGTTTTTTGGATTGTGTGTTCAAGCCTTGTTTTCAGCGAGCACACACACTGAGTGAATTTGGGTATCTAATAACAGTTGTCTGTATCAACAGGCAGTAATCAGATATGTGTGTTTTCACAGAGTCACACAACATAAACACACACACACAAACTTTCCCACTCCAGGACAGAGAACAGTTGTTGCCTTTAGCATTCAGTGCCCTTTTACACATGAAAACTGTCCAAGAGACTACATTTAATCTTGTTAGGGCACATGCTAATGACCACTAATATCTCTTTCTGTCACTTTCTCCCTCTCAGTCTGTCAAAGTAGCATAAGCTACGTTCACATCGCAAGCCAAAGTTCCCAATTCCGATTTTATTCTCAAGTACAATTTTTTTGTGAGGTTTTTTAAATGACCTTTTAAATATGGTACATATCGCATATGCATAAAACACCCCACCCTGGCATATTCATTATAACGTCATCAAATTTCATAATGTAATTCAAATAATCAATAAATTAGTAATTGAAACCACATTGGGTTTCCCGTTTACATTTCTGCTTGTTCAAAGCAAAACATTTGAGAGAAAATGTACATCAGTAAATGTTAAATTTTCATTTTAAATGCATATTTAAAAAAAATATATTTTTAATTTAATATGTGACTTAATATTACATATTGCTTATATTTTTGAATGTATGTGTGTGAAAGTACCATGTTTATTTTTTAATGCACTATCCCTTTAAATACTAAAGTGGCTTTCAGTGCCTTAAGATGCTGGTATAATATACATCTATACATATATATATGTGTGTGTGTGTGTGTGTGTGTGTGTCAGTGTTGTAGTTTAGTCACTTAGTGAGGCCCAGGGGAAGAAAAGCACTTTTCAGCTCTTGTTTCGCAACAACCGCTTTGGTAAATATCAGAAATGAAAACGAGAAGGAAAAGAGAACGCAGATGAGAAGAAGTAATATGCTGCCTTTAGGCTGATCTTTGCATTTGTGGGTCATTGTCTGCCCAAGCACCAGTCCATCATAACATCATGAAGCCCTCGGTCCTCTGACTGGCCAGTTTGTCCTCCGTTTGTTTGCACATGGCTGTTACAACAAGAAAAGATGACAAGATGTTTGTGGTTAATGCCTGTCTGTTTCCTGTGTGTGTGTTTTAGTGTGATCATTATCGCAGAGGTATTATCTCGGGATCGGTGTGTAAGTCTCTCTGCGAGGAGAAAACGCTGTCTCTTCAACGCTGTCTTTCAATGTCACCGACGCACCAGGTACACTCTCAAAAACACACAGATAAATGATTTACACAAACAATTTCCAGGTCATATTTAAATGAAAAAATAAGAAACTATATTTTATATTGCATTAATTTTGAATGCAACAGTTTTATTGCCAAAGAGGTACATTTCTCTCTGACACACTTGTCATGCACACATACACAAATAGATGTCCTTTTATCTCTAAGCTCATCAAAAACTCAAGCAAACTGAAGCACCCAGAGACAGTCTAAAAAAACACTCTAGTACAGTGAAGCAAATAACATTAAAGGAGTCATATGATGCTTTTTTTAAAGATCATTATTTTGTGTATTTGGTGTAACAGAATATGTTGACATGCTTTAATGTTCAAAAAACACATTATTTTTCAAATACTGTACATTATTGTAGGTCCTCTATGCCCCGCCTCTCTCTCTCGTTTTCTACAAAGTCCCTCCTTCCGACAAGCGCAGTCTGCTCTGATTGGCCAGCTGACCCAGTGCATTGTGATTGGCCGAACACCGCAAGCACTCGTCGGAAATGTAACACCCCTTACCATAATCGCGAGCTTCATCTTTCAAAATAAATGTAAAGACAGTAAATAATGTCATTAGTTTTACCATCAGTTCAAGCCCGAAAGGGGAACAGACACAGTAATGATGCAGTACACAAGCCGCGGTTAAGACAGCTGACTCTACTGTGATGTGACGCTGTCTCTCTCTCTCTCTCTCTCTCTCTCTCTCACACACACACACACGATACGCAAAACTCCGCATTTGAACAGTCAATAGCAAATTCTTAAACTAGTAACAAAACATACTTAGTCGCGGATTGTCATAGCAAAGTCAGAATTACCTCCTCTCCTAGGTTCACTATGCAGTGTTTTATTCATACACTTTATTTTTAAGTTTATTTATTTGTTCTATTGTGTTTGTAATTTGCTGCTTTTTGTGAAGCCACGCCTTCTTTTTTTGCGTGAACATTTGGGCGCATTATGCAAATATTCCCACATAGTGACCTAGATATGTGGGGGCGTGTTAGAACGAGCCGTTTTAGGGGGGCGTGGCAGAGTCTTAACTTTGATAAAGAATATCTCTTTGGATTTGAGACTTTAGTCTTTGCAACTTCAGGGATCTTATCTATTCACAAACAGCTTGTAACACTCCAAAGAGAAAGGAAAACTTGAAATCGCATCATATGACGCCTTTAATATTTCAGATTTGAAGTGGCCAGTTTTGAGCACTTCGGTTTGGAACGACCCTTAAATATGACGGCCATGATTGGTTTCATTCCGAATTGCCCTTTGGAGGGCGATATATCCCTTTTGGAACACACTGAAAGTCATTTGATTTTGATCAGCTTTGCTCATTTTGATGAGCTCAGCATGAAAAGAGCTTTCCTGGAGCATTTCAGTCCTTGGTAGTGTAACTGAAGCAAACAATCAACTATGAGTGGCAAGGCACTGTCAAAAGATCTCCGGGAGAAAGTTGTGGACAGGTACAAGTCAGGAGATGGATACAAAGAAATTTCAAAGGCTTTATCAATGCTTATTACAAAGCTCTGTGTAATACTTGATTCTGATTGGTCAATCGCACCCTCCAGTGCTATGTTATTCCCAGATAACAACCGCCAAATTGAATAACCCACCGCTCATCCGGGTACTACAAGTTATCTTGACCGGTATTACTTATATGCTTAACGAGTCACTCCGCTATCGTTGACTGTCTGGCGCCATCTTGTAACTGAAAACACTTAACCACCGCGTGTTACAATGGAAGACTTCAGCATTAATTTCAACATATATGGTGAAAACTAATCTTTTTAGCCGTTTAATAAGCGGGATAATGTACATCCAGCCGGTTGTTAAATCAGAATAAACCCCTTCAGGCTGATACAAGACCCCTCCGCTCCGCTGATCACTGAGGCCACATGAGACTAAAATTTATTTATTTGGCCTCAACACCAAACGATATGTCTGGTGGAAATCCAATACAGCTCAGCATCCAAATAACACCATTCCTACAGTATAGCATGGAGGTGGTCATATCCTGTTATGGGGTGTTTCTCTACTGCAGGGACTTGAGCATTTGTCAGGATGGAACGAAAAATGGATGAAAATACTGTCAAATTCTTGAGGAAATTCTGCTGCCCTCTGCCAGAAAGTTGTCACTGGGAAGAAGGTTTACCTTCCAATATGACAGTGACCCAATGCACATAGCGAAACTGAGCACACAGTGGATGGAGGAAAGGGTGAATGTCCTTGCATGGCCTGTCAGACCCCAGACATAAACCCCACTGAAAATCTGTGGAATGATTTGAAGACTGCAGTCCACAAACGCTCACCATCAAAATGAACTGAACTTGAGCAGTTCTGCAAAGAAGAGTGGGCAAATATTGCAAAGTCTAGATGTGCAAGGTTAGTAGAGACAGAGACATATCCTGACAGACTAAAGGCTGTAATTAAAGCAAAAGGTGGTTCCACTAAATACTGAATCAAGGGGGTGATCCTTTTTTTCTTACTCAGTGATTCAAATTTTTTTTTTCCTGACATGTTGGTGCTTTATCTTTCACTTGGATGTTATAAGTAGCACTGAGTAATGTCTGTCTTCATTTCAGGCTGCAAAGCATCAAAATGTGATTATTTTAAAGGGGGGTGATTCTTTTCTATACCCACTGTGTGTGTGTATATATAATATTTGGTCTTGGTGTGAAAAAAGTCATATATACAATTACAACTGGCCCACATAATATGTATTTATATATAATATACTATATTGCAGGTATACAGTGCTGTGTGGAAGGAGAAAGCTGTATTGGTAAAGTGTGGGATTGAGGAGAGCATGAGAGGAGAAAATGGTCCTGACTCTCCACTATGGCATGAAAACAACCTCTACGATAAACCCACCCGCGGAACATCCATGGATGAATTCAGAGTGATGCTGCATTCCTTTCTCAAGGTCTTAACTACTTTTTTTCTTTTTCATCATTTTTCACATTATACACAAATACAACAATCAATCAGACCTGCAGTTGACACAGAAACCATTTTTTTACTCATAGAGTTCTAGAACATTTGTCCTTAAATTCTAGAACTTGATGTTTTGAATTTGAACTTGAATTGTCGTGGGACAGATTTTGTGACTATGGCTGGCTGATATAGCCAAAAATGTTGTATCTCGACATTTCTTAGTCTTTTAACGACAATGAATAGATATCCCAAAATGTATGCATTTAATTAGAACCGTTATTTTAACCTAAAAGCCATTGATTTCAAGTCAATTGAGAATGTTAAATGCAAGTAAGAATCTGATTCAAAATCAATGCTTCCACGCAGTTTTACACTAAACAGCCATTAGCATATGATATTTTATAATAAATAATAAATATCTATTTTATAATAGATAATAAAAGCATTTTAATACATGACAAATGTGGTGACCCAAAAGAATCAAATCACCAATCTAATGATCAGAAATATATCATGAATATTTCAATATATCACCCAGCCCTTGTTGTGACTGATATTGGAGAGGTTTATGTCCTGCTTAGCAAAGCAGAAACAGATCTAAGACAGTCTAACCCTCTCTGAGCTTTCGGCTGTTCCTCAAGGTCCCCTGTAGGAGGGTGAAAATGGAGAGAGAGCCGGGGAGGGAGTGGGGTAACAGGGAAGAGAAGCCAAAAATAACTGAAGGAGCCTGAAAAGGTCACAGCCAGAACAATACACTCACTCTCAGTGTCAGGGGAGAACAACATTAACACACATTTAAACAAAGTGCTGTAAATGGCTGTGCATGCTTACACACTCATAATGCTGGTCAAGACTGTGCTTTAAAGATCTCATGAAATAAAAATTTGTTTTCTGGTTTGAAGTCCATATAGGTTAGTGTTGAGGCTAATCTGTATGCTAGTATAAAATATTGACAATGATCTCATACAGATATGCTTATATAGACTTTTCTCCGATAAAATGCTCTCTAGAATGAAAATGTCCCCTTATAAATTATAAATACTACCAACCTCTTGACTAGAAATCTACAGTAGTAAATCATAGTTCATGGCTGTGACGCAAGACAAAGATTATTGTTGGCAATTTTTTTTAAAAGGAACAATCCTTTCAATGTCCTACCCCCAGTGAAGATTGAGAAAAACATTTAATTGGGCAATTTAAATTGCTATTCACATTTTTATTTATTTAGTTTTTGGCCATTCATTTGTTATTTATTATTATTTCTGTATGAACAATATAAAAATTTTGTAATTCAATTACCAATAAATAATATTCAGTCTACGAAATAAAACGTTGTAGGTTCTAAAATGTCTTTCTCCCTCTTCCATTCATTCACAGGACAGTGTTGGTGAGCAGTCATCTCTTGGCACTCTTGTAACTCGTGTGATTTCTCTGGCGGATGTCAATGGCGATGGCAAAGTTTCGTTAGCAGAGGCGAAATCCGTGTGGGCTTTGCTTCAGATTAATGAATTTGTTTTAATGGTGGCACTGCAAGATAAAGAACACGCTCCCCGCTTGCTGGGCTTCTGCGGAGACCTTTACGTGACTGAAGGCGTAGCACACAGCGCCCTCTTCAGACTGGAGGTGCCTGGTTGGCTGCAGCCAGTGTTTCCTGAGGCGCTGAGTGTCGCTCTTAACCAGTGGCTTGCTCCTGCGTGGCCCCGTAGGGCTCGGATCACCATCGGCCTGCTAGAGTTCGTCGAAGAGGTATTCCATGGTGTATATGGAAGCTTCTACATATGTGATGCAAGCCCAAGACGGGTCGGCTACAATGAGAAATATGACTTCAAAATGGCAGACCTTCAAAACGTAGCATCGGAGGCAACCGTCAAGGGGTTCCTGCGAGGGAGGACTTGCGAGGCAAACGCCGATTGCACTTACGGGCGGGATTGTACTGCAACGTGTGACCGATTGGCAAGGCAGTGCAACGTGGAGGTGGTGCAGCCCAACTTGGCCAAGGTGTGCGCGCTCCTGCAAGACTTCCTGCTTTTCGGAGCACCATTGGACCTGAGGGAGGACCTGGAGAAACAGTTACGCACCTGTGTGACTCTCAGTGGACTGGCTTCTCAGATGGAAGTGCATCATTCCCTTGTTTTGAACAACCTTAAAACGTTACTGTGGAAGAAGATCTCAAATACCAAGTACTCTTGAGACCAACATGATTATCAAGAGAAAGGCAATGAAGAGCAGGAGAATTGGAGACTTCCAGAGAACAAAAGTGGGGTCAGTAAAGTAGGTTCTGGGGTGCCAACAGAATAGCTGAACTCTGACAGCCACTACGGACTTCAAATTTGTCGAACATCAATTGCGAACATGGGAAGTTGGTGAATGGAAGTTCTGAAAGGGCATACACTACATCCCCACCCTGTTTTTCTTCAACAACTCAATTGAAGAACTTTTTAACCTTATAGAAACGCCTATAGAATACTTTTTTTCTTTGTCCAAAAGGTTCAAGGTGAAGACTGTTCAATAGGAACAAAGATAAGTGAAGACATTTTTCTGACCATGCAACTCCTTCCCAAATTAGTTCTTTTTGGTGAACTTTTGGTTAAGGATCTGGGCTGCAAGCACAAGGATAGTAGGGCTAGTTCCTAGTAGAAGAAACCCAAGGGAAGAGTTTCCAAGAGGACGGTCTTGCTCTATGCTCTACAACCCCATTCTCTTTTACTTTAGTGACTCAACTGAACACCCTTTAATGCTAATAGAAAAACCTGCAGAACAATCTCTTTCCTTTTGCCGAAATATCCAAGGTTAAGTAAGACATAATTGGAGAAAACCAACTGTAGGGCGTTTCTTTGACCATGTATCCCCTTCCCAAATGATATCTTGGAGCTCTGCTTGGTGTACTTGTGGGTAAGGATCTGGGTTGCAAGCACAAGGATAATAGGGTTAGTTCCAAGAAGTAACCCATGGAAAGGAGAGTTTCAGACAGGTCTTACTCTACATCCACACCCTCTATTTTACTTGAATGAATCCCCTGAAGACCCTTTAACCCTATAGAAACACCTTCAGAAGAATCTCTTTCCTTTGGCTGAAAAGTCCAAGGTGAAGTAAGGAACAAAGACAACTAGAGGACATTCATTTGACCGTGCAAACCCTTCCCAAATGAGTCCTTCTTGGTGAACTTTTGGTTAAGGATCTGGGCAGCAAGCACAAGGATAGTAGGGTCAATTCCAAGAAGTCACCCAAGGAAAGAGTTTCTAAGAGGATGGTCTGGCTCTACAACCACGACACCCTTAAGCAAGACATGCAACGTTTGGTTGCAACAGCAGGCTTGTTCCTGGAACACTACTCTGAGTTTCTTTTTGAAGGATAAACTACAGCCACACCTATTTTGACTTTCAGTACAGAAGAAATGGATCTTTAGCAATGTTTGGAAGCACCCTAACTTTGAAGTCAGGAATTGTTGGGACTGTACACCAAAAAATGCAACACAACTAAGACGGAACGAGTGAAGGTTATATATTGTCTTTTTACAAGGTGTATGTTGTGTTAAGTGTGTGTGCTTGTTCTGGAGAGTTTGTGATGGGATTTGCACTTGAACAGTGAGATTACTTCGTGTTTCTCAGGGTTTGCATGTTTGTCTGAATGTGTTTGGAAAAAAATTACTATTAACATTAATCCTAGATTAAATGGAATTAGGTTGTCACTGTAAACAATGTGCACCGTTTAAGGAATCACAGTCTAGTGACTGTATATGTGCAGGCTTATAGAACATATCCGCATTTAAACCTGAAAGTGTGTGTGCATACTGTAAACACATCTCCTTGACTCTCAGTAGGCAGTTTTATAAACATCTCTTACACTAGTGAAACAAATCTAATCTAATTTTATTACTGCTAAACAACATGCACATCCCACAAATAACCAACAAGAAGTACCAAGTGCACATTTAAAAACTTCTGTTTCCTCTTTTCACTTTCAAGATCATTCTCCTCCCCAACTTGGGAACGATCCTGAAATTGTGTTCTTGCACAGATTCAGGTACATTTAGGTGATTTTGAGTTGATTTCAGATATAAATCACAAAGGATGAGTTTCTGTCTTCTAGTGTGCAGTAGGCTTTAGTACAATTTCACATTATGAATGAAATGATTTTATGTACTATTAAGTCATGATTATTTTATTTTGTGTCTCTGTAGAGAGAGCAGCACAATTAGCAAGGCTCCTAAATACTAATTTATTTGACCTCCAATTTGTTCAGCTGTTATTCATTGATGAGTAAATGTTTGAAACTTAAATTGTGTGTTTGTCTGTTTTTTTTATATATGGGGTGTTTTTTTCTTTTTTTGGTGAAGCACAGGCACACAAAGTACAGCATTTGTTCTAAAGACACAACAGCACGTATCCTTTTACTCGACCTTTAGAAAGAAATAAGGGATCAGCATCTATTAGTCCAGGGAGGCCTCCCAAAACCACCTCACCTTTAAAAGGACATGTCACTTAAAGGACAAAAACATGTAAATTCACATGTTGGACAAACCTAAAACACGCTGTTATTTATTTAATCATTTTTAATGGTAGTAATAAACAAATTTATCACAAGTAAGGATAATTACACATGTTAGTTTCATAAAATATGCTATAATTAAACACTGCATTATAGCATAGCTTACTTTATAGATTATATGTATAAAAAAACAGATCATCAAAACTCAGAGGGTTTATTTTGTGATGTCTAGTTGACCTGTCCTTCAAAATAAATAGATAAATGGATTATTGATTTGAGTGAAACAATTGTAGTTTGTAGCTTGTTAAAAAAACTAAAGAATAAAGTGTCATGCAGTAATGTGATGGGTGATGATCAGATGATCTTGTTCAGCTGGACTACTCCATCATGGCCCAAAAAGCAAGTGGAGATCAACAACCGCAGACACGGGTATGTAACACACAAGTGTAAATGTTGCAGTCAGCTGACTTGTTCCATATGGTTTGTCACATTTCTGAAATTAAAGCAAAATAAAGATGAAAGCAAAGCACCATTTTTGAGAAAAATGATCACAACACACTTAACAGAAAGCATGCAGTTTTATAGGCAGAAAAGATCTGCAACACTGTTTGTTGTTGTATTTTCTGCACTGATTTCAGGGGAGCTCTGTGAAATATTTTTGACACCATTTAACCCTGTAAAGCTTGACATTAATTATTAGGCCAATTTTATTTTTTATTTTATTTTCAATTGGGACCATTCTTTATATCTTGTTTAATTTTTTTCAGTTTTATTCAGACCCAAACCATGTAAAATTATGCCATTTGGTGCTGTTGCTGATATTTATATGGCCAAAAAAAGGTATGTAACACACAAGTGTAAATGTTGCAGTCAGCTGACTTGTTCCATATGGTTTGTCACATTTCTGAAATTAAAGCAAAATAAACATTTTTGAGAAAAATGATCACAACACACTTAACAGAAAGCATGCAGTTTTATAGGCAGAAAAGATCTGCAACACTGTTTGTTGTTGTATTTTCTGCACTGATTTCAGGGGAGCTCTGTGAAATATTTTTGACACCATTTAACCCTGTAAAGCTTGACATTAATTATTAGGCCAATTTTATTTTTTATTTTATTTTCAATTGGGACCATTCTTTATATCTTGTTTAATTTTTTTCAGTTTTATTCAGACCCAAACCATGTAAAATTATGCCATTTGGTGCTGTTGCTGATATTTATATGGCCAAAAAAGTAGATGAAATTCTGATCGGTTGTAATGTAAATCAGTCAGATTTTTATAACAGTATAACAGACTACTTACATTAATGCATAGATATCTCAAGTGTTCATATCTCCCAATAATGTCTTGGTAGAATATTTATGCTTAGTTTTATGATTAAAACATATAATGTGATGCAATACAATGATAATTGAGAGATGAACAAATGTAACCCTGGAGCACAAAAGCAGTCTTAAGTCGCTGGGGTATATTTGTAGCAATAGCCAAAAAAATATTGTATGGGTGAAAATTATAGATTTTTCTTTTATGCCAAAAATCATTAGGACATTAAGTAAAGATCATGTTCCATGAAGATATTTTGTAAATTTCCTACTGTAAATATATCAAAACTTAATTTTTGATTAGTAATATGCATTGCTAAGAACTTCATTTGGACAACTTAAAAGGCGATTTTCTCAATATTTTGATTTTTTTTGCACCCTCAGATTCCAGATTTCAGCTTTTCAATCTCTGTATAAGCATTCCTAAACGGCCTGATGATCATTTTTGATACTTACATTTTAACATGATTTTTCTAAAAACTGATGTATGGATAATCAAGTGAACCTAAGCTGCTTCAGTCCAGTGTGTTCATCTTAAAATAATACTATGGATATAAATAGTGCAGATATCAGCATTACAGTTGTGTAAAGTTGTATGGAAATGGGAAAGATTGGTCTATTATTCAAACCATCTCTGTTTGTCGGGTCTTTAAGATCATGTTCAGGTCTAACCATACAGGATTCATATCCCTGCTTGAAACAGGGTCTCGTGCTGGTTTGTAGGGGCTGTCATTCATTCTTTGCACTGTGGAATTATGGGTACAAAGTGTAGTTTCTAGCGCCCTGCTGCTCTTTGCTTCCCTCATGACACAGACACAGCACGTTCAGCTGTGCTGCAACGCCTCGAGGAGCAACAAGTGTGTGTGTGTGTGTGTGTGTGTGAGAGAGAGTGTGTTACTTACTACTCAAGCTTGCTGCAGAGTCGACTTTTGACCTCTTCGGAGTTGTACCGTTTTAAGACTCTAGGTCACAACCCATGTGAAGTGCAGCTCCATTTCATCTATTTCTTGTGCCGTTTTGAGTCCATGAGTCACAAAAACACATGTTAGAATCTACAATACTCAAATACAAAGAAACATTAATGGGGAATAACGGAGTATTTGGAAAGGGTTTCACAGGCAGTCATGGGCACTAACACACACACACAGAGGTCTGGGTTGGGTTATCCGGCCTCGTTCCAAGCCCCCGGTCCACCATACAGGACAGCAGGGTCGATCGCAAGCCAGTTTCTTTCTGCCCACTTTTAGCACAACAGTGGCATCACTGCCAGAGTTACGTCTCATGGGGCAAAACCCAGAGAACACACAAACACACCACTACACAAAACTGCACACATGATGGGTAGCTGAATTGAAATGCCATGCTAGACTTCTCCAAAAACATATATTTCTGATTTGTATATAATCATTATGCAGTTTTATGAAATTAATTGAGAGATTATGTAGAATGCTTTTAGTAATACAAATTATATACAGCTATGTTTGAGGTCAGTAAGATGTTCAAATTATTCAGATTATTTTAAAGGGGTCATATGATGTGATTTCATTTTTTCCTTTCTCTTTGGAGTGGTGAAATGCCATGCTAGACTTCTCCAAAACATATATTTCTGATTTGTAAATAATCATTATGCAGTTTTATGAAATTAATGGAGAGATTATGTAGAATGCTTTTAGTAATACAAATTATATACAGCTATGTTTGAGGTCAGTAAGATGTTCAACTTATTCAGATTATTTTAAAGGGGTCATATGATGCGATTTCATTTTTTCCTTTCTCTTTGGAGTGTTACAAGCTCTTGGCGCATAAAGAAGATCTGTAAAGTCGCAAAGACTAAAGTCTCAAATCCAAAGAGATATTCTTTATAAAAGTTACGACTTGTCCATGCCCTCCTAAAACGCCTCGTTTCTACATCACTATGTGGGAAGATTTGCATAACGTCGCCCAAATGTTCACGCAAAGAAAGAAGGCGCAACTTTTATTCTCGCTGTAGTATTGTTGTTGCTGCTGCTACCATGTCATGAAGAGCTGTGTGTTCGTTGTGAAAGCGAAACTACTTTGTTTGGTCTTCCAAAAGAGGACGATATCCGCTTCGTCATGCCTAGAGCTGATCCGTGCTGGTCGCTGAGGAAATACATCAACTTCGCGCTGTGGATCGCTGGATTGGCTTTCACCGTCTACATCACAATGTGGGAAGATTTGCATAACGTCGCCCAAATGTTCACGCAAAGAAAGAAGGCGCAACTTTTATTCCTGCTGTAGTATTGTTGTTGCTGCTGCTACCATGTCATGAAGAGCTGTGTGTTTCGTTGTGAAAGCGAAACTAGCTGCTGCTACCATGTCATGAAGAGCTGTGTGTTCGTTGTGAAAGCGAAACTACTTTGTTTGGTCTTCCAAAAGAGGATGATATCTGCTTCGTCATGCCTAGAGCTGATCCGTGCTGGTCGCTGAGGAAATACATCAACTTCGCGCTGTGGATCGCTGGATTGGCTTTCACCGTGGACGAAGCGGAGTGCAGCCCGGGGTCGTCACATGTAGTTGCCGCAAGCCTCCTTTGTCGAATCCGCCGGGCGCTGTTCACTCAAGCCGCTGTGTGTTTCATTGTGAAAGCGAAACTACTTTGTTTGGCCTTCCAAAAGAGGACATAATGTTTCTATAAAATGGGGCAGTTCCAACTTTGCAAGGACAGTCTGGCGCTTCTGACTCACAGCCTGCAAGTACGTTTTTTTTATATTTAAAGAATTTGCCACTGATCATTCAAACGCAAGTTTTCAGCAGTGTAGAGTAGCGCTTATTGTTTGTCATTTCTCCAATCACAAATGCAGACATGGCTTTATGTTACGTGGCGCAATACGCAACGCAAAGCGTAAAAACACAGTATAAGTCATTACAATCAGTAATTATGTCCCCACTGGATGCAACAAACGCCTTGCTTGTAATGGGTTTTATTGGTTTCGTCTCCCGGACACATGGAAACCATAGACTGTATGATGGAAACACAATATGGTAAGGGGAGTAACATTTCCGTCACACGCTTGAGGTATTTAGCCAATCACAACGCACTGGATAGCTGGCCAATCAGAGCACACCTCGCTTTTCAGAACGATGAGCTTTGTAAAAATCGACGCGTTTCAGAAAGGCGGGGCATAGAGGAGAAACAATAATGTACAGTATGTGGAAAATAATGTGTTTTGAACCTTTAACCGTATTGCATTACACCAAATTCACAAAATAATGTTCTTTTTAGCAACGTCATATGACCCCTTTAAGGTAACATAATTAGTCCTTCAGCAGAGACCCACCATATATGCTTAAAATACTGCTGACAAAGTAAATCCTTACCTGATGGTGAAATATCATGGTGGTTTCCAAACAGGAAGAAAGAGTTCTTCATTCAGAGCCTGTAGTGGAATTAAAACATAATTATAGATGTATTTCTTCGTTTTTGTCTGTAAATTAGACCCCTCACTAGAGAGGGTTCAGTGTGGCTCCAGTGCTTTCCACTACTGTGGCCCCCTACTGACACGAGCACGCTACTGCAACCCGCGAAAAGGCAGCGCTGTTGTGTGCAAGAGTAAAAATAACCCACAGTGCTTAAACACGACAACTCCGTTAGATTTTGTAAAGATCTGAAGTGCAGTTTTCAGGTTGTTTGCACTGCAGAGCAACGCTTTAGCGTTAAACTACCGGCTGACGCGGTCGCGTGCAACACGTGGGCGGTTTCGGCCAGTTTTCAGCAGAAGCTGACAGCGTTATGTTGTCTCTAAACACTGCATATATAACAATCGACCATCATTTAGTCATTAATGCATCGGCCATACTATTTTACACCACGCTATACGACAACCTCATTACAATTACTAAGTAGTATCATAATACACATGATCTTATACAGTATTAATAACGAAAATACGTATACTGTATATGTAATAAAATCGAATGCTCGAAGTTTACATTGTTAAATCAAGATATATTCATGCAATATGTAGTAGTTGTTCTCACCTTCATCGTAGAATGAATAAAGAACAAATCCAGTCAGGAGGAGTGGCTAAAGAGATTTATATAGTAGAACTACGGCAACCTGCTGGACCAGAAAAGGCGGATTTACAAAAATCCTCCACCATGTCTTTTAAAAAGTCAAGCCTCTGAAAGAAATGTGTAAACTGACATTTATGTACATAAGCACATAAAATAAACATTGTATTATGGATTTGTAGAACTTTATTGGGTTCAAATAATAACACGTAATCAATGGAAATGGATTAAAAAGCAATACATATTCAGTATGAAGCCACTGGATTTTCTTTCACAGTTCTGACCTTTTTCCTCACAATTTTGCCTTTTCCCCCCTCACAATTCTGAGTTTATGTTTCACAATTCTGACGTTTTTTTCTCAAAATTGTGAAAAAAAAAAAAAAAAATCTGAATGGCAAGATATAAGCATAATTCGGAGAAGAAAAGTCTGAATTGTGAGATAAAAAGTAGTGATTACCTTTTTTATTTTGTATTAATTGTCGGCGGAAAAAACAATTGTGAGATAGAAACGTAGAAATCGACTGAATTGCAGGATACAAAACTCAGAAATGTGAGATATAACCTTAGAATCCTAACTTTTTCTCACATTTCTGAGTTTATATCTTACGATTCTAAAAAAGGAAAAAAGAGTCACAATTGTGAGATATAAAGTTGCAATTACCTTTTTTATTCCAAGGTGAACATGGGCTTCCATAGTTCTAGGATGGTCACACGTGTTTCAACTTTTTAATCAAAATAATACATCTGAATTTTAACTGCAGTTTTTTTGTACTCTTATTTTCACTGAACTTTCTATGCGAGGACAACAGACACACGCACACACACACACAAACTCTCATTGACCTGCTTCACACTGAGGCTGAAATACCCTTAAGAAGCTCCATCTGCCTCCTCTTGTCCTTTGCTCTATTAATGGTCATTTTAAACAGCCGGCAGTACATCTCCATGGCAACAGGAGTGTCATCGTTGCCGGGCACTGGGTATGCGATGAGGCTGGGGTTACAATTAGAGTCCACAATCCCGACTGTGGGAATATTCATTTTGGCCGCGTCTCGGATGCCGACGTGCTGCTGGAAAACGTTATTGAGCGTGGAGAAGAAGACGATGAGGTCTGGCAGCCGGACGCCGGGGCTGTACTGGACGGGGGCGTTGGTGAGCAGGCCTCCTTTCCAGTAGCGTGTGTGAGCGTATTCGCCGCACTCTCGCGCCGTCGTCTCTATCAACTGACCGAACTGACGCCTGCGGCTGACGAACAGGATGATGCCGCCGCGGTACGCCACGTGAGCCGTGAAGTTCAGCGCCCGCTGCAGGTGTTCTGCTGTCTGCTCCAGATCAATGATGTCAATATCCAGACGAGAACCAAACAGATATGGTTCCATCAGGCTAGAGACAGAAACACACGTTAGCATTCAGAAATATGTATGTATATAAATATGAGGTCATAAAAACTGAATTATTTATATATATATATATATATAGCAACAATTTTTTTGATATGTTAATAATAATAAGAAGAAGAAGAAGAACCATTATTAATAACTGTGCACCAATAATAGTTGAGCAGCAAATCTGCATATCAGAATGATTTCTGAAGATCATGTGACACTGAAGACTGGAGTAATGATGCTGAAAATTCAGCTTTGCATCACAGGAATAAATTACATTTTAAAACACATTCACATAGAAAATAGTTATTTCAAACTGAAATAATATTTCACAATTTTACTGTTTTACTGTATTTTTGATCAAATAAATGCAGCCTTGGCGAGCAGAAGAACTTCAATAAAAACATAAAAAAATCATAATGTTTCCAAACTATTTCTCTCTCTCTATATATATATATATAGATATAAAAAGTACAAAAAGTTTCTAAATTATATACATATATATATACACACACACACACACACAGTTACAAATAAATTAAATACAAAAAATAATAATATGAATTATATAAAAACTCAATGTATCATTATAAGATTTATTATATTATTATAATTATAGATAATAATTACATCATGTCACATTGCAAGCCACTGCTTGAAAATTTAAAGAGATAGTTCCCTAAAATTGAAAATTCTGTTATCATTTACTCACCCTCGAGTTGTTCCAAACCCATAAGACTACGGTAAATCTTTTAAACACAAATTAAGATATTTTTAAGGAAACCTGAGAGGTTTCTGTCCCTCCTTTGGAAGTCCAGGTAACCAAAACATAAAAGATCCAAAAAGGTTATAAAGGCATTGTAAAACTACTAAAAAAAAAACGTAATCAAAGTCTTGTGAAGAGCTATGATCGCTTTATATACTAGACAGATTTAATTTAGATTTTTATTTACATCCACTCGATTAATATGGATGTGTTTTGGGATGCCTTCATAACCTTTATGGATTTATGCGTTTTAATAATACCTTCATCGGTGTTTCAAAGATGAACAAAAGTTTTATGGGTTTGGAAATACGTGAGGGTGAGTAAATTTGGGGGTGAACTATCCCTTTAATGTCAATGACCCACCTATGCCGGCAGCCTTTCTTGTGACCAAGATGGACACGGGCTTCAAACAGGTCCTTCATAGTGAAGAGCTCAGACAAGTGGAAATAATCTGGTTGAGTGAGTGGGAAGTTCAGGATCTTCTCTGTAGCAGCTAAACAGGCAACACAAACATATAGAAACAATTATGAGCTATGAATGAATATTACACGTTACAATCTCTTCATAAGAGTCAAGTTTTCATATAGTGCTTTTAACAACATTTTTACTGCTTTACATAACAAAAACACATATCAAGCACATACTGTATTTACATTAAGTCTACATACCAAATTAAGAGAAATAATTCTATAAGCAAGCTGATTCTTTATGAAACATCTGTATTCATTTATGTAAATAGTTAAACAACAAATGGTTATCAAACACTGATTGGTGACAGATTTTGTCACAGATAAAGATAAAGCACTCTATCAAAATTGTTATATACCAGGGTTTTTAAAAATATATATTTTTGATGCCACAGACCCAAAGTATGATTTATTTTCTAAATTAAGTTTTTATGCACTATAGAGTACTGTACTGTTTATGTATTGATTCGTTTATTTTAACAATATTTACATTTATTTAAATATATATTTTTACCTTTTTCTCCAAATATTTCACACGGACCCTCCAACACTCCCCTGTGGCCCCAAGTTAAAATCCATTTTATAGACTATAAACCAACAGAAACTATATCTCTAGGTCGCTGGGTTTCATCTATTCATCACATCGGACATTCTCACCGGTGTCTGGCGCTGATTTGACTGCAGCTGATGCGGAGCTCAATGTCTGTCCGTGACACGAGAACACAGCAGAGACCAACCGAGGGCCCCGGAGAACCTGCCTTACTGAAACCAATCATATTCAATTCATTTATTAAACGGTGCATACATTGTTATCCAAAGTCTGTTGCAAAACTGCTCAGAAAGTCCTTATAAAAACTCGATGTCACATGTAATGTTTTATGTTCACCTCCGCTTAAGACGCCCGCTGCCATGTTTCCGTTCGAGCTCTGCCCATGAGCGTAAAGAAGAGTGCACAGGATTGTGGGTAATACAGTGCTTTGGACTGATAAAACCGTTGCATCACACAACTCATGAACTACAAGTACCACAATGGCCCAGTTATTTTAAACGAACCAAAACTTTATTGAATTATCCGGTGACAATTTCACTACAATGAACAATTTAAATAAAATGAATAAAGAACGCTCTATAAAATTAGTAATTGGAACAGTAAAACAAAAGAGAAGTAAAAACAAATATAAAACAAGAACTAATTATTTTAATTATTAAATATACTTCATATTACAATATTCTCCTGAACACGTGAACCTCCTTTCCATTCTATTTTCCAGCGGCTTCAGTTTATCTGTAATAAAACAAAACATTAGGAACAAGTTCCACTAATGCTCAACTACCAGAAAGTATCTAAATACGTTTTATATGAACATCTATAACCTAAGCCGTCGTTCTATACCAAGTAACTGTGATTAAAGTGAGCAGAATGAGTATATTTACCTGATCAAACTGACCACAAACTGCAGCCTTCGTTTGACTGTTTTGCTGCCCTACAACACACACACACACACACACACAATCAAAGAACTCACCCACCAGGCAGGCTATATATTCACGTACATGTACAAAGTGGATCAAATCTGTTACATCAGTGTGTGTGTGTGTGCAAGTGAATGCATGCATTTTTAATACATTCTTTTTATATACCTCTAGCTGCTTTTGAATATGGAGGCGCCTGGTTTGGAATTTCAGACTCCTCTCCTCCGTGTCCAGGGCGATATATGGACTTAACAACAACCCTGGATCTATAGAGGTGGACAAAGACCTGGAGCAAACAAAAGAAACAGATTAACACGTACATACACACTGTCAGTCTATGCATCTGTGAGCTGCAAAGACCAATCTAATTGCTGATGTTATATGACATCAAAATACCTCAAGAGCATTTTCAAAGCATAAGAAACCGTCTGTATGGTATTTTGATGTCATACACCAATCGGTCTGCACAATCAAACAAAGCCAAAACCTAGATATTTAAGGCAATATAGAAATCCTGGCCAGGACGCGTCCTGGGAAAATGGCACGTATGGTCACCCGAAGTTAGATACATGTATACATTTGGCAGACACATCTAAAACAACATATACTGTGTTTTATTAGGATGTGTTCACAGGGAATTTAGAAGCAAAAACCTAGAATTTTACATGCTTTAAGTAAAATCAAAACATCAAAACTTTTAAAAACATAACTGGATAATAGAAAGCAGTTTAAATTAAACAAAAATCAACGGATTCACATCATATTGGTCTGATATATCATGCATCAACAACTTCAACCAACACAGTTTAACTAGTCACTAACACAGCGTGTGGACACAACAGAGTAATAAAATATTCAGTAACAACTAATGAAATCATTTATTTACTAAATTACAGCATTAAGAAATCTTCTTTTGTGATGAAAAATCGACAGGACATTCCTTTTTGTGTCCTGATGAGCGTTTAATTACTCTGGAGTAAAAACATTAACATTCAGAAGGACAGAACTACAAAAAAAATATATAATAATATCTTGAATATTCGTCAGTCAGTTACATGTGATGCAAGAAAAAAGACTGGCATTAGCATCAATTTAGACATCTGTTAGAAAGGAAGCTAATTTACATTAAGATACAACACAGAGGAAGCTGTGTAAGAAACGGATTAGGAACATTAGGTACAGGAATGCAGACGTTCATGCATGTTTACACACACACACACACACACACGTAGTGTAAGAACCATACAGCCTTGTGTCTCAAAGTCAATTTTTATTATACATCTTCAGAGATACAGTTTGAGTTTCGTTTCTCTGTGCAGAGCAGGGGACCAAAAAAATCATTTTTTTCTTTTTTGCAAAATATTTATGAAAGCTGGCAATGCCCAGCATAGTCAGCATGAGTCTTTACTTTCTTCTCTTCTATAAACAAAAATAAATAACATTCTTTTCACATAGGAAACACCCACATATAATAAGCAACAGAAACAGGAACTAAGAAACAGGTGCAAAGAGAGGGATGAGAAGGAGGGACTGGTGTGACTTGACAAATGTGATTTGATAAGTATGCAAAAATGTGCAACAGGAGAAAGATGACTGAATTTTGAGACACTGAAAGAGAGAGTTTCATCCTTGAAATATGCAGATATAAATCCTTGAATGTTGTAGTTGTACAAAAAATATCCTGGTTATGACATGAATATAAAGAATTCCCAACTAAGTACATAAACTGTGTTAAAAGGGAACATCGTGAAAAAATCTGCTTGTTGAGGGCAAGTTAGTAATTTGAAGATTTAAAAAAAAATCTGCTAGTGTTTCTCAAATGAGGCCCATCTTAGTCATTTACTGTTGAAGTGAGATTTTCCTCATTTAGAAACCTAGGGATTATTTTAACGTTACTGAAAGGTTACTCAGACCGTCTTCTCATAGGTCAAGGGTCTAAATGATGATGCTGAACCATTGTGAATGATTAACAACTTAATATGCATTGATGCAAACAAAAGCGTTTTCATTCTCTTGGCCTTTACATTCTACAGTCCTTCATACAATTTAAAGACGCAATTTTAATGGTGGTATTTAACTTGTGGAATTTTTTGCAGAAAAAAAAGGACTTTCTTAGGGTAAATATTTAAACCTGGGAACTATTTAACATGTAAACTCATAAACCTTCGGTTTTTAATTGCAATTACTTTTTGCAGTCTCAAATGAGAATTTCTCAAAAAGCAACGTTCCATTCAGAAATGCAGCTGCTGCAGAGAAAATACAACACAAACAATAAAAAACAAAGTTTAATCTCTCTTCATGACATCATGTCTGCTTTTAAATATATTTATAAATGTACAAACATACAAAAAAAGGATGTGGTACACTCAAAGAGTCCTAAGTGTCGTCACTTGGAGCCTAAATAATACAGTACAAAAAGACAGAAACACTGAAATGCAGGATGAGACGCTGCAGTCCGTCAGGCTAATGCTAAAATAAAACAACTAATGCTTAAAGCCGAAGAAAAATATCGGCTGTATGGTTGGGAATCTTGCAAAATACCTGCGAATCACAGATTTGGATCCATAGATCCGCCCGAACAAATGACCAAAATACTCATTAATCTTTCTAATTAAAGACATCAACAATTTTATGAAGAAGTCTTTCGTATCTTAGATGGAACAAGAGCATGGGTACATACTGGGCTTTTGGCGACCATGTTCCCTCAACTGATATGTGTGTGTGTTTGGAGAGAACAGGTAGGTACTCACTGATTAGGGGGCTGCTTCCTCCTGTCTTTTGTCTTCTGATCTTTCCTTTCCTCATCTGACTCTACATCTGTCTCATCAACACATTTCTCTTCCTCATCTTCCTGCTCTTTCCCTTCCTTGCTAACACTTCCTCCCTCCCTTTGTCTTTCTCCTAAACTTGCAGTGGACTCAATTGCCTCAATCTGGCTGACCTGCAGGTGGTTTGTCTTTGCTAAGGGCGTTGGGAAAGCAACCTGGTCCCGTTGTAACTGGATTACACTGCTGTCCTGGTGGACCTGCAGTACAGCTGAGGGCTGGCACAGGTGCGAGGTGGCGGGGGATAAGTGTGGTCTATCTGAGAGATGTCGGTCAATTTTCAGGCGGTTTTGCAAGTAAAGTCTCTCTGTCCTGCCCCTAGGGGGCGCTGAGGTCGAGAGGTCAACAGTGGTGACAGCAGGGGAACTAATTTGAGGTTTCGAGATAGGCGAGGGACAAAGAGAACTAATTACTTCCTTCAAAGGTATCCTAGTGGCTGATCTACTCTGGCGGCTGACGGCAAGGTCATTACTCTCTGCAGAGGAAAGTTCCTTGATGTCGCTCATACTGCTGTTCACGGGCCTCATCAGGAATAGGTTCTGGTGTTGATGACCCGATAATCGGGGCATCTCGGAGCTCACAGAGGGCGTAGTGAAGGAGTTGGGTTTGATGGTATGACCTGTTGGAGTGTCCTTTCCTGTCTGGGAGCTGCCATTCTTTGGATCTCTTTGAGTCGAATTCTCAATTTTTTGACTTTCGGTCCTCCTAAAACTCATAATGCAAGAGCTGCCTGGTGTCAGGACTGGCCCCTTGTTGAGTTCTGCAGGTGCATCCGTGGATCTTGCAGGTATGCCTATGGATTCTGCTTGCGTTTCACTCTTGAAGAGTCTACCAGAGGTTAATGCTGAAGTAGACATTGGAGTTTCATTTAGAATCGTTTGAGGTTCTGGTTTAAAATCACACTCCGCAGGTGTGGTCAAGGAGTCTACGGCCACGTCCTCCTGATTGGTGTTTGCAGTGAGAGGTGCAGACTCCTTGGCTCTTTCAGCTAGAAATCTCCTAATCTCTTGCTCAATGCTATCATCGCTGTCCACAGAACTGTCATCGTCATCTGCATGCGGACTGGAAGAAGGTATGTCCACATCTTGGGGCTTGGGAACCCCACCATTCCCAGTCACCTTGTCGGCTTGTGCATGGCTTTTAGATTGTTTGATGTTCTGGACTTCCGATTTGCCTTTAACTGCTTTGCTTTTATCACTCTTGTCGTTTTTAGTCTGAACATTCAGTGTCTCTTTGCCACCTTTCAAGATGCTAGACTTAACAAGCTTGGAAGGTGGGATACTCTTCTGGTCTGTTAAAGGTTTCTGTTTTTTCACAGCATCCAAAGATGATGCCTCGCAAGGTCTGGCACTTTTTCTTGCCTTCGGGTCTCTCACTTTCTTTTTGACTTTTTTCTTTGTCTTAAGCAAGTCTTTAATTGCAGCATCTAGATCCTCATCACTGTCCAGGGAGCTGCTTTTGTCACTGCTGTCGTTTCTCTCTGAGCCAATCACAGTCTTTGGGCTGGACATACTGTAAGTGGAACCTTTGTCTTTGGGTGCACTACTATCTGTACCCTTACGAGGTGGGGAGTTCTGCTTCAGTTTACTGTTTTTCATGGTGGCTAGACTACTTGAATGTGATGTCACAGTGGGAGTGGTTAAAAGCTCTGGTCTGGTGGAGCAACTATGAATCAGAGGTGTCCCTGGAGGCTCCTCTTTAACATTCAAAACTAATTCACCATCTCTGGAAAGTTTGCTTTGTTCTTCTTTGAACTTGCGTTTTTTTGACAGGGAGAGCCTTACTGCTTTATTCGGCTGGGTTTCCTTCATCTTCTTCTTTGGTTCTTTGCTTGCTGTGGGATCTCCTGAAGCTGGCGAAGGTGCACCTGCTGTTGTCGGAAGCTCTTTGTTCATCTTTGCTTTATGTTCCAAAAATTTTCTTATCTCTTGTTCAATTCCGTCCTCACTGTCAACAGAGCTTTCATCACTTTTATCCGCAGATGGTGCAACAGTGAGGAATGTTGGCGTCTGAAGAAAATTTCTGTTAGCAATGCTTAAGTTAGGCTCAAACACCTCGGGCATGACGGTTTTGGAGATGTCTAGAATGGCTTCAGCACACAACAGCTCAGCAGTGTTGACCTTGAGACTGGAATGGATCTGATGTTCAGTGTGGGTTTGTTTTGGGTTTGAAAGGGGTGGTGCACATCCTTTGACTTTAGAGCTCTGGGATGTACACTTGTTCAAAAAGTGGCTTACACCCAGTGGTGTAGGGAGATTAGACTTCTTGGTTGTCAACTTCTTCTTGCTCTTCTTGGACAGTGCTTTGAATGGCTGAGTGATCATGCATTCGGGAGAAGTGACAGCTGATCTGCTACGTTGCGCAGGCACAAGTTGGGCAGGTTTGAGAGGACTTTTCTTTTTCTTCTGCTTGTGTTTTTCTACCTGGAAGCGACGGATGGCTTCCTCAATACCTTCATCGCTGCTCGATTCAGAGTCCTCCTTGTGTCGTGAAGAACTCAGGGCATCTTTTTCACCTTCCTGTTTTTCTTTTTTCTCCTGCTGGAATCTCTGAATCTCCTCTTCAATTCCATCATCACTGCTTGAATCAAGCCATTCCTCTTCCTCTTTAATGACAAGACGAGGTGGAGATCTGTCCATCTCTGAAGACGAGGAAGATCCTTTCTTAGCTCTGGGTGGAGGAAGACTTTTTATAGGCAAAACTTTACTTGTGTCTGCTTTCTTAAAGGGATTTTCTTTGCTTAGCTTCTTCTTCTTGACTTTCTTCTTTAGGGGCTGCGTCCCACTCAAGGCTCTCTGTATATGATTGCTAGCAGTTAGCACCTTACCACTACTGGAATGTGTGTGTTGTTTAGCAGCATCTGGGACAGTTGGTTCCCTCCGCTGAAGCTTGGGTGCTGGGGGCGAACTTGTCATCGGATCCCCTTTGCGCTTGTGGTCCACCTTCTCCTTCAAATACTCCTGAATGGCCTCCTCAATGCCTCTGTCCACAGAATCGTCACTGTCCGAAACATCGCCAGTATCAGATCTGGCGGTCTGTAGCTTAGTGTCCACCCCTGTTCGCCGGGATCTCGCAGACGTGTCCATGAGTCGCATTTGACCCTTGTAGCCAGCCTCGTGGCTGGAATGAGCAGCCTTTTCGGTCTGCACGTTTTCGCTCATGTCCGAAGACTGGGTGCTGTGGAGGCTCTCTATAATCATCTGGATCTTCTGTGGGATGGGGGTGCCGCTAACAGAGGCAAGGTCGCTGTCGGAGGCACTGTCATTGAAAAAGAGAGGCAGGCTGCAGCTCTTATTGGACCTCCATTCCGAGTGAATTGCCACCACCGGAGGAACTGTCTTCAGGAACATTCTAGAAGGTTGGAATGGAAGGGATGTAGGTGCATGGGAAAGCTCCACCGGTGATCTTGTTTACATTCTAAAAAGGAAGAAACAGAATTCTTAATTTCAACAACATCAATAAAATTTTATGTGTTTAGAATATCACATTTAAACTGACAAGGTTTAATTTTTCAAAAGCATTAATGGTAGGCAGGACCAGTGAGAGCTGTAAAATTCTCACTTTAACCACATAGAAATTATCTGCCGGGGTGAAATACAACAATTTACTGGATAAAAAAAAAAAATCAACATTCATAACTGACAGAACTGGCATGATCAGCAGATTCTCATTTAATTAGATTTTTTATGCATATTTGCTCAAAACTTTCATCTAAAATGTAATAAAAAAAGCTAGAACAATGGCTGATCAGACAGGAAGGGTTGTAAGAACCTTGAGATCGTGTATAAGCCCACATTTACCAATTGTGAGTGTGTCATACACAGTCTATTAATGTTTTTTAATTACCGGTAGTTTGCACATACTTTTGGGGAAAATTATTTAAAAGACCAATTGTAAAAAAAACTTGATAGTCACTTGATAGAAAGGCTAATACTAATACAATATTTAGCCCAGTGTTTGTTCCATGTGTAAACTGGAAAAATCACAATTCAGTCGTAATAGTGCTTAAAGCCCTGCCAAGTTTATAGGTATTGAACTGCAATTATACAGGCAAAAATAAAAACTCCCTAAAAACTTCAGAAATATTTGGAAAAAGCTAAGTCAGCTTCAATTCATTTTCAAAAATGTACCATCATCATCAGGCAAGGAGGATATTCAACTTTTTTGGCCATTCAGAAACAACACAGGCCTACTAAATAGCATAAACCCCATGTTCTGTAAATTGTTATATTATAATATTATATTTTATAAAATTATGTTATAGGCCTATTATAAAATTATTATTACTATTATTAGACACGTTAAATAATGGCACTCAGAGCGTTTGCTGAATGAATCTGACTCACTGAACTGTAAATTATTACTTTCTTTACTTCGAATTAGCTAAGAACTGCCAGCGTGTTATGTTGTAGGCCTACGTAGGGCTTCGTGTAGTTACTGACTAATTGTTCATATGACAGTGTGTTCAAAAATATGAGTTTTGATTCAGTGGCGTTTTATATAAATGATTAAATTAAATGGTACATGTATTTTAATATTTAGTCGTTTTATCTAATATACAGTTAGTTATTTATACAACAGAGAAATCCGTGTAAACAATTATTTGTGCTTTGTTGCGTTTGCTGAATGATAGCATCACCTGAGAAGAAGAATTACTTTCATTTAAAATATTAATTCGTCGAAATAATAAAATAATAGAACCGTGAACGAATCAGAATCGTTAAGAGGAATCAGAATGGCCATATTCATAGGCTACAGATTGCTATTGCTAATTTTAAGGGTGCATTTAGGCTACATGCATCGAGACCCGAGCGGTGCCGTAGCCGAGGCCCCTCCGCCGCCTTCAACGCTTCATCACCTCAGACAATAAACTCACGTAAGTTATGACAAAATAACTCCCTCCACTACGATGCCACAATGAAACTCCCGCTAAATGGAGACATTGTATCGCCTTTGCACTTCAATGCGAGAAAGTTGTAGTTTTTTTGTGCTTTTGCAATCGGCCGTCAGAGCTCCGTCTCACCGGGCTGTCCCTGCGCGCAGCTCGCGGCTCTGCCTGCACTCGCGACCGGGGAGCGGAGCTAAGATACACCGCAGAGGAACCCGCGTCTTCCGCGTGCCGGCCACGGTGTCTCCGGCCGTGTTTACACTCGTTTAGTGACAAAAGAGGGTCTGTTAGGGCGAAGTTCGGAGGTCGTGCGTTTATATGTGACATTTAATAAAACAGCCTCCTAAAATGTAGCAAAGAAAGGCAAGGAGGAAAGCTGAAGTTCGCCATGAGATACAAGCGCTGAGACGCTCGCGGGGCCTCTTCACTTCACGCCGGTTCATTTCGCTAAACCGTCTTTGTATTGTGTCCCTCTAACGAAAAACATCACAGAAGTAACAGCCCGCTGCATGCAGGCGACAGCTAAAGGGATGAGGCTCACCTTACAACTGATGAACGGCTGTTGCGTTTATCTTCCAGTGTAACACATCCAGCTTTTGCAATTCTTTACACATTTTTTGGAGTGTCCACATACGGGAGCGGGCGCGTGCTGCCGTCTCGTGCGCCCCTTCTGCCTTCCGACTTACCTTCAGAAATCACTTAAAGACACAGTACTGCAGAACGGACTGGAACTGTGTTGTGAAATGAATGGTGTAGTCAGATATGTATTGTGTCTACATATAAATTTCTTTACCAAACGTTTATTTTTAGTTGAGTTTGATTGAATGGTAGAGGAAAAGAAGCCAACCAGTGTCCAGCATGCATGGGAAAAGCGTTCAGGATGCCTGAAGTTGGTTGAGAGAATGTCTGGAAAACTGCAGATCTGAAATCTACTCTGCCATGAGAACTTAAAAAAAATAAAATTAAAAAAATACTTTTTACGTGCGAGGAATAAACTGGCTATTGCGAGGGAAAAGTCAGAATTGTGGGGTGGAAAAAGAAAAAGGAAAAAAACTAAACAAAACATAATTGTGATAAGGGCCATAATTGATAGGGCCTATAAACTTAAAGTTCTGAGAAGAAAAGTCAGAATTATGAGATATAAACTGGCAGTTGCAAGAAATACGTCAGAATTGTGAGATATAAACTGGCAATTGCAAGAAAAAAGTCAGAACTAATAAAAGTCAGAATTATACGGTGCCCGGGAGGTGACATGTTCGGTTCACTTACTTTTGTCGTGGCCACGAGATAATAACTCATGGGAAGTTTAATGCGTAAACAAACCTGCGTGACCTTAGCAACCCGGGATTATCAGAGATGGATTCATTAATATTTAAGAAATGATCATATTATTTATTATAGAAATTATTACATTATTAAATTATTATATTCACCATAGGCCTTGGCTACCGGACTGTATTACGTGCAATAGTCAGCATTCAAATGAAGTGTGTCATCATTAATAAATGTTACATAAAGTGCATAATATAAAATAGGCCTACAAGAAAAAATTTGTATCCATGCTACAGTCTTGTGAGTCCAATAATTGATCGTCTTTTCCCCTTAATATTTGTATATTATTATTATTATATTATTATTATTAGCCTATTATTATTGGTTATATTTTAATATTCATTTTTCCCTTCATTTTGATCTCTTTACTTAACGTTCTGAATACTTTTGTAAATAATAGCCTACTGTAAATGCTCGACATGCCAATAAAGCTTTGATTATGCTGACTGGAATTTTTGCTGGAATGCAGTTTAAATTGTACATATATATTCATTTTATTTCGGCTAATTAATAGACCATAATTATAAATACTATAGTGTTTCGTTGAGGAATTAGGCCTAATCATTCACATAGTTTCATTTGTAAATGAAAAAACAACACGCTAATTTATCATCACACATGGGCATAAATACAGTCATAAAGTCAAAACTTTATTGGCATAATTGTCAGGCGTTTATTTGCTAAATATATGGTAGGCAAGCAAATGCTAGCATAATTATACAAAACGTTAACTAGGTAAAGTGATACACAAATTGAAAGGGGAAATAAGCATATATAGCCTAACAATAAATATAAAAATATAGCCCTAATAAGTTAACGTAATAATAATAATAATAATAATATACAAATATAAAATGAAATGTTTAATGTTAATAGAAATGTTTTATCCATTTACGCAGGTTATTATTAAACTCGTGGCCACGTAAATATAATAATTTAATGTTTACGCATTAAACTCGGCCATGAGAAATGGATGTCGTTACCTTGACAAAATGTACCCATGAATTAATATCTCGTGGCCATATTATCACGTTCCCACGAGTTATTATCTCGTGACCACGACAAAACTAAGTGAACCGACCATGTCACCTCCCGGGCAGCCTTTTTATTTTTATTATTATTTTTATTTATAAAATAAAATCACAAGTCTAGAATTTTCTCAGAGTTTATAAATCTAGACAAAGAAGCTCAAATGTTAATGATTTGTTTAACATTTTAAGTCACTGCATGATTTTAAGGACTATATTATTATTTTAAAAGTTGGAAAAAATCTGTAAAAAAAAGCAGGGTCCTTTTAGTACTTTTATTATATATAACATATATACAATGTATGTAACAATATAACATCAAATAATTAACTTTTTTTGACAGTGATTAACTGAAAGGGTAATTAAATTAAAAGAAATTGATCATTTTTCCTGGGCAACAATAATTAAAATGTTAAATAGGTTTTTTGTATCTAAGATTTGAAGGTTTGCTTTTATGCATAAATTCAAAAATAATTTAAACTTTTATTTCTGAAATAAAGAATGGATAACATAATTTTGATGTTACTACACATTTATGTTGAAGGTCACTATTTAACCGTATTTGGCTCTTGCAGTAATGGTATTCAGATCATGCTTTGTAGACTGTAGCATATATCGTTGTGATTCATGACAACGAGTTACAATTATAACTTTATTTAATTATTTAATTAGCAAATGATCTCATTCTTGTTAGAATCATTAGGAAGATAAATGGTCCATAAGATGATGTTGTAGTCTGTATTTTGTGGATCAGTGGGTAAACTTCAGTCCTGTAGAGCATCTTCAAAATTCATTTCTCACTCTTTTTTCTTCTGCTCTTTCTATATCTCACACCTCAAAGGCTCAAGCTCACCTCTGCTCAGCCATTAGACTGACGTGAACTCTGCTGATTCTTTAGCATTACTCAAGCGCAGTTATTTATGGATCATAAACCTGATTTACTCAAATCAAGGCACCAATACATCGTTTAATGTAGGCTTTGTGACAGTTTAGTCTTTGTCTGCTGTCAGTTTAGCTTATTATTTTTACTAAAATATATATTTTTTTAGTTGATCAGGACTAGAACCATCCACCATGAGTTATTAGACAAATCATTGTATTTTTATCATTAATTATATACTGATATAGTTTTTATTAATATTTATAATTAGCTTTTATTTTTATATTTTCCTATCATGTTTCACCATTCAAATATTTCTTTTAAGAACATAATATATATTTCTTCTTTCTTTCCATTCCATTTTCTTTGTGTTAATAGCACCACACACACACACACACACACACACACACACACACACACACACACACACACACACACACACACACACACACACACACACACACACACACACACACGCACAAATAAAGACAAAAAGTAATATTAATCATGGGTAGAAAATTATATCATATAAAGAAATATATATTAGATTAAATATTTTTCTTATACATTTTCATTTGACTTTTTTTTGTTTTAGTCATTTTGTTGTGTGCTTTTGCCATTTTTATTATAATCTTTTAATTATTATTATTAATATTTATTTCAGTTTTAGTTTTTATTGATTTCCCATTTTAGTGCTTCAATTTAAACTGATTTCAGTTAGTTGCCAAGGCAACATTTCTACATTTTTTATAGCTTAGGTTTTTCATCTAATATTTATTTTATTTTATTTCAGCTTTATTTCAAGTAATAATTTTTTTTTAATAGTTTTAGTTTTAGTTAACAATAATAACCCTGCAAAGCAGACAGTTTCCAACTTAATCTGTAACAGATTTAAACATTTTAACAGATTTTTGAATTTCTGAAGTTTTTTTAAACATTTTCTAGCTTGATCAGATCAAGTTTTGGTAGATTTTGTTATATGATGTTTCAGTGGTATGTATGTATTAGGGATGTAACGATGCACACGGAGCCGATTTAAAATATGTGACGGTTCAAATCGGCTGAGATGTTAAAGGAATCGGAGTTCTGTATCTCTGAGGGTAACTGGCTGTCTTTAGAAAAGTTTAGATAGTATTTTATTTTCATCTTGACTCTGTATAATGCATATTATTAAAGCGTTGTTCATAAGCGCAGGGCTGCTGTGTACAGCGGTAACCAAGGAAACGCTGTATTACTGCTGTTCCATAAGCGCCTCCTGCTGGCAGAGAGTGAATTTGCTTTCTCATTCAGCCTAATGGCTGTTGTTGTTTCGTGCAGATAGGTTTTATGTAGTATAGTTGCACAAAGAAAAATAAATAAAATAAATAAAGTCAGACCATTCTGTTTTTGCTTCATATTTCGAAATTATATAATCTCATTTAGATTAAAAACTGCTCATGCTACATGAATGCAGCATCTGTTTGGATTGTGATTAAAATACAGTTGCCTCTAATTTTAAATGAAAACAACACAGGCAAAGCCTAAGTTTGTTTGTATGAAGAGATTTCTTTTATTTGTGTTATTGTGTCACTTATTTATTTGTTTTGGGGTTTGTGTTAACATTTCAATTTAGTTTTGTTATTTGTTTATTGATTTTATAAAGAAATGTGCAGCATTTTGTCCAAGCACACTATAAAAAATGCTGGGTTAAATACAACCCAGTGCTGGGTAAAATAGGGACAAACCCAGCAATTGGGTTGTTTTGACCCAGCGGTTTGATTAAATGTTTAACCCAACCTTCTGGGTAGTAACCCAACCGCTGGGTCAAAACAACTCAATTGCTGGGTTTGTCCCTATTTTACCCAGCACTGGGTTATATTTAACCCAGCATTTTTTAGAGTGCAATAATAAAAGAACACATTTTCACTTATAATTTGTCTTAAATCACATTGTTAAAAAAAATCGTGAGTAAATCGTATCGTGAAATCAGTATCGAGAATTGTGAGTTGAGTGAATCGTTACAGTATGTGTGTGTGTGTGTGTGTGCATGTATACACACACACACACACACACACACACATAATGAATTCTCTTAAATTGTTAATTCCTAGTAAATAGAACAGAAGGGATGAAGATGTAATGAGGCTGAATTCAGTTATTTATTACAATTGTTATGAATGAGCTTTAGTATAGCTATTGTTGTATTGTGTTAATAGTGTAGCAGTCTGTACACATGGTGGCGCTGTTTACTAGTGTGAGAATCAAGGCAGACTGGCTGTTTTCTCACTCCAGAAAACAATTACATGCTGAATACTGAATTCTGTGCTGATACTTCATTCAAAGCAAACTTCACCTCTCTTCATCACTTTTAGTTCAAAGAGGCGTCTTAGCAGAGTAACCACAGCTGTGTTGTAGTTCACATTAACTATCTATGGACATGTTCATTTTTTTGTC